CTGTCTCTCTGCCTGTGTGCCTGCCTGTCTGTCCGTCTGTCTGTCTGTCCGTCCGTCCGTCTGTCTGTCTGCATGGATATCAATGATATCAATGCCTCCTCCTCTCTACCTTTCTGTTTACATAAGTGTCAAAGCAAATAAATGCCTACATGTACATATTAGTTATGTATGTGTGCATGTATGTACCTGCATAAAGTAGGTATGTATGCCTGTATGTCTGTACCTATGTGGGCACGTATGTATGTATGTATGTATGTAGGTAGGTAGGTAGGTAGGTAGGTAGGTAGGTAGGTAGGTAGGTACGTGTGACATACGTATGTATGTGTGTATGTATGTATGCACGTAGAACAGGTCTTCCGTACAGATATTGAGATGACCATCAACCGTAGCACCCATGTGAATACGAGCATCGATGTTCGTAGGAACCATCAGTACAGGCAAGAGCAACAGTAGTAAGTAGCTGTATAGCAATAAGTGTCGGGATGCTGGGGGCCTTACGGCATGGCAGGAGTACAGGGAAACTTTGACGGAGCTTGTCCTGGCACAGCTTCAGTCTCTGTCAGGGTCTCGAGGCCAGGAAGGTAGCAAGCATTTCTCCTACCGCATCACATGTGTTAAAGCCGAAACGCATGATCCATTCCCATTAGGAAACCTTACACCTCAGAACCCTTACGAAAACCTGTGCGATGCTATACGATTTCTGTGAAAATCATTTATAGAACCCCTGTAGGAACCTATACAAGCTTGTCGGACCCAAAGGACACGCTTCTGTCAACAAAAACCCCTGAAGCCTCACCGCCGAGTCGACTTTGGCATCTCGTAAGATAGAAGGGTTCAGGGTTTAGGGGATAATATTCGTTAAAGCGTTCCTTATTGTAACTTAACTATTCTAAAACGTACCCAAACCCTACTGCAAATACTAGGTTTTTTTTTGCACCTTCTACACTACCCCTTATCCTTCCTTGTAGAGCCCTGCACGGAACCCTTCACAGGAACCCTGTTAACTGTTAACATCATGCAAGCCCATATACTGCAAGGCTTGAACCCTAAACCCTAGAGCCCTAACTCCGAACCCCAAACCCCTAAACCCTAAACCCCCTAAACTCTAAACCCTCTAAGCCCTAAACCCTCTAAACCCCCCAAACCCTAAACCCTCAACCCTAAACCCACAAACCCCAAACCCTAAACCCCCTAAACCCTAAACCCACAACCCTAAACCCCCCAGACCCCTAAACCCTAAGCCCCCAAACCCTATAAGCTCTAAGCAGGTCGGTGCGGCCTCAGGGCCAGGGCCGGAAGCGTCTTCTCGAGTCGCTGAAGCAGCGGCTCACGGAGAAGGTTGCTCGAGGGGTCCCAGTGGGGGTTTAGGAGTTTAGGGTTCTAGTGTTTGGGGTTTAGGGTTTAGGGTTTTAGTGTTTAGGGTTTAGGGCTTAGGGTTTAGGGTTGGGTTTAGGGTTTAGGGTTGGGTTTAGGGTTTAAGGGTTGAGGGTTTAGGGTTTAAGGGTTGAGGGTTTAGGGTAGAGGCTTCCTTTATAACGGTTCCCAGCAGGGGCGGGTTTCCTGTTAAGGTCTCTAGATTCTAACAAGATCCCTACTGTTGATGGTATAAACCCTGCATTACCTTCAGGACCCTAAACTATGGTAATTATGGCTTTTTCCTGATGATGATTACTATTGTTGTGATTATTACTATTGTTATTATTTGTAATATGGGTAATGCAGGATTTATATCATCAACTGTTACGAGGATGAGGGATTTGCGGGTCCAGAGCTTTCCGGTCGAGGGCTTCAGGAGCTTTTGGGTCACGGGGGGTGAACGGTTTAGGGTTTGGGGTTTGGGGTTTAGGGTTTAGGGTTTGGGGTTTGGGGTTTAGGGTTTAGGGTTTGGCGCTTTCATTTTGGGATTTTCAAGGCTTCGCTAGCTAGGGATATGCTGTAGATGAACACCTGCAGAAGCCAACGAGAGATAAACAGGGTTTGGGGTTTACGGTTTGGTGTAGGGTTTAGGGGCACTTAGACAAACACAGACCTCGATCACTCGAAGCGCAACAGCACGCATGGAAACTGGGACCGAGACATCAGCACACAGATGCCACACACAAGCACAGACAGACATGCATGCAAACACATACGCGTGCATGTATTATCGGTGGGTATGTAATGTACATACGCATGTTCATGATCGTCACATTTGTCACTTTATACATAAATGCGAAACTTGTGGTGCTGGGGTGTCGTATGGATTTCGCTCATCGGGGCCTTGAAGCAATCCCGGCCGGGGTCGTTTCTCTGAGGATCTGCGTCTGCACTTGGCTCCAAGTATCTGGGTGGCAGTGGCTCGAGCCCTCGGCATCCAGGAGCCCTCGTGTTCGAGACTCTTCTTTGCTTCTTGTCTTTCTTGTAGCTTGTGCATCTTCCTCTGTGGCATTGTGGCTGAAGGATGCTGAAGATCTGTTTGAAATTGTTGGGCTTTCCTGATTTCCGAGAGGGCACCCCCTCCAAGACCCCATGCGCATGTGGGGGTTTCCGAAAATAGGGGACCCTAGTGTAGTACCCTAAGTAGTAGGATCCTGATTATCAGGACCCCCAAAATAAGGTACCCTAATTTTCGGAGAGTCCCCTGTCTACCAGGAGGAGACGATGTTCGCCGAAAGAGCCCAGCGTTTGCTGAACCAGGGCGGCGACCACTCGCTGCTGCAGCAGTTCGCTGAGCGACTGAGGTCCGCCGTTCGGGGCGAGGTTTCCCTTTTGGGGGCTCAGGTAGGGGTTTAGGGGTTAGGGTTTAGGGTTTAGGGGTTTCGGGGTTTCGGGTTTAGGGGTTTAGGGTTTAGGGCCTAGGGTTTTGGGTTTAAGGCACTGATGAGGGTGGTGGTGGCATTGGTGCGATGACTGTAACAATGGCGGGCAGAGATGAAGATGCTGTTGATGGTTTTTGATGGTCCGCGATGAAGATGTGAGGCTGGGAATGTCGACAGTGGCACCCCATGCTCTTGTTGAGGATGTCGACGTCAACAATGATACATATGGTGCATTCTTGAGAGTAGCTATGACTCGAACCCTAAACCCCAAGCCCTATTCCCCGAATTCTAAACCTTCCGAGTGCCGGGCTCTTAGGCATCAGTGCAGTGCTTATGCGCGATTTGCGTTCTACGAGTGGGGATAAAAACTGCCTTTGCTTCCGCTTTTGAATCTGGTGCGCTAAGCCCCAAAACCCGAAACCCTAAACCCTGGACAGCTGCCCACGAAAAAGGTCCTCAAGGAAAAAAGCCCTGGACTCTAAAGCTCAATCCCTACACCCTAAGCCCTAAGCCCTGGACAATAAAGCCCAAACCCTAAACCCTAAACCCTAGACTCTAAAGCCCAAACCCTAAACCCTAAACCCTGGACCCTAAAGCCCAAGCCCTAAACCCCGAAGGGCCAGAGTCGAAGTCTTCGGTGCAGCCGAGGAGGACGAGCCTTCGCCATCTTGGAAGCTTTCTGTAGGGCGTAGGGTTTGGGGCTTACTCTAAAGCCTAAAGCCTAAGCCCTAAAGCCCCAAACCCTAAACCCTAAAGCCCCAAACCCAAAAATGCTGGGGCTTTTGTGGCAAGACTTCCCGGGCCGAGAAGTAGAACAGGGTTCCTGCAATCGCGGTCGTTTGGGGCTCTTTTTTGGGGTATTAATAGGGGCCTTAGCAGTTCGAATGGGGCTTTGGGGTATATGAATTGAATAGAGTTTAGGGGTTTAGGGGTTTAGGGGTTTAGGGGTTAGGGGTTAGGGGTTTGGGTTTAGGGTTTAGGGGTTTGGGGTTTAGGGTTTTCGATTTAGGATTTAGGGTTTATACAGTATAGTTACGGGGATTATAGGGGATGTCATTCGTCACATGAAGGGTAATCTACAGAAAGCTAGGGCACTAAACCCTAAACTCTTGTCTTGTGCCTGCCTTAAGAGCGGTGCCTGTACCGAGGACAAAGTGTACGAGCCCAGCGGAGGCTTGCCACCGCAGGCTGGTGGAGCTTCCCAATCAACGTCTCTGTGGTTTGGGGTTTATTCAGTGTTTAGGGCTTAGGGGGTGTGCTTTGGTACATAGCCGGTTGGTTAGTTGCTGATTGTTTCAGGGCCATCATCGTGGTACCCACTTCTGGAAGCAGGCCGACAGACAGATTCGTGTTCGACAGGCACCTCACTCAGTCTGACTACGCCCGGAGCGTTGCGCTGTCCCTTTTAGTTTACGGTAGACGCTATGCTGCCCTGGTCTGCATGCTTCTCTCTTACCTACTACCCTGCTTTCCTGTATCTTTGGAAGTATACATGTCAGCCGCCGCAAGCACAGTTGAGTTATGCCACATGTTGAGAAGATCATTTGGCTTCAAATACAGTGCATGTACTGGTCCATACTACGGGTTCGAGTTGCCACGTTCGGCTTTCGCCCTGGCATGCTAAGCTGTGCCCTTCCCCTACGTAGTGCGTAGAGATGCCATCTGCTTGTTAAACTACATTGCGCATGCTATTTTTTCTTGCTGCCACACAGACCAAAAATCATCTGCGATCGTACCATGCAGTGGTTATTGCGCTGTACCTGAGCCATCAGGCTAACCTCGAAGCTCACATGAACCTGCGAAGGACTCTACTATAGGAGCCTGATTAAGAAACCCTGGGCCTTTATATTCGGCTTCTGAACATGAGCCCTCATATATGGGGTTTTATGGGGCCAGGGTGTCTTAGTCAGGTTCCTACATCAAAAACCCTAAAGCCTAAAGCCAGCCTTGAGCCTCGGAACTGCTTCACGGCACTTGCAACGAAACTGAATAATGAGTACTACGGTGGATGATATAAATCCTGCATTACCTATAATTAATCAGGAATGTACCAGAATTCCCATAGTTTGGGGTCCTTAAGGTAATGCAGGCTTTATATCATCAACAGTACTCTTCTTCAAGGTATATGACCCCACGCATCTTTTGCATGATATGTTCTCTAGTGATTAAGAGGCGCCTGTAGCACGTCAACAGTGGATCAGGATGGTGAGGCGTGTTTGCAGCACCCAGTGCCATGGCCGGAGCAGGGCATAGGGGTGAGGTTTTAGGTGTTTGGGGTCGCAGGAGGGTTTTGAGGGAAAGACTTGGTGCTTTGGACTCTAGGTGCCTCGCAAATTCCCACGAGGACTGTGCTCCAAGCCGTAAGATGCACACCCAAACCAGCCTTGAACTTGAGTTTCGACTGTGGGCCCAACGCAGTCCAAAGTGCTTCCGCAGACATTTGCGGAATCCAAGGTCGTCTACCTGTTCCGTGGAGAGGGGTTTTGCGGATTTTGCAGGAATGTCTTCGAGACATACGAGAGGCTTGGCTGAGTTTCATCATTGCTCTCTTCATCTTGGGGCTTGGGTTGTGGCATTGTTGTGGTTTTGTTTTTGTGCTTTTGCTGTTGTTGTTGTTGCTGCTGCTGCTGCTGCCGTTCACGGTTTGTCCATATGCCTTGTGCTACCAGCATTTGGGTTTCGGGGTTGCCGACCAAGATCTGATTTTGGGGTTTGGGTATAGCCAACCAACACATCCTTTTGGGTTTTACGGTTTGCTCACCAGGAAATGTTCTTGTAGGGGTTTGGGGTTTGCCAACCGCTATTGTTTTTCCAGTGTTTGGGCTTTTAGTGTTTTGGGTTTTGCGAATCTTTTTGAGAATTGGCTTTGCCCCTGCTATGTTTTTTTTCAGAATTCGGGCTATGCATTCTGGCATGCCACCCGCAGTTTTCTGTTAGCATTTGGAGTTTGCCAAGTTGGGGTTTGGGGTCTTAGATTCGTTTTCCGGAATCACGCCTGATGTTTCGCGAATCTCCGCTTCAGTTGTTCGAATGTGTCTCAGTTGTTCTCCGGAACGGTTTTCCTGAATTTCGGTGGTTCCCGATTCTGTCGTCCTTGTTTCCGAGTTTGTTCTCCGAATCTTGGAACCCACTGAGGTACGAAAGTCTGCGCCAACACTTTCCCGAGCTTTTCGAAGGTTGCCACTTCACAAATGAGGCCGAGGAGGACGGGCGGCAGCGCTCACCCTTCTTATTATCTCGAGCATCGATGGCTATGGTAACGACGGCCGTTTTGCGTCTGCTCATGATAATGCCGGCTCTGAGGATGATGTAGTGGGGCTTTTGTGAGACGATGCTTCAGAGTTTGGGGCTTTGGAGGTTTGGGTTTTGGTGGAGTTTTCAAGCCTTCAGGACTCCGGCCACTCATCAGCGGAAGAAGCACCAGAGGCAGCATCCTTCGCCTGCAGACGTTACTGTGAGAACGATCGTGATTTGAAGGGCCATGAGCTCAAGCAGCGGTTTACGGCATTCCGACTACATTCACAGTGCCGGAGGAAATAATTAGGTGTCAACAAAAAACCCCAAGCTCTAAACCCTAAACCCCAAACCCTTACCCTACACCCTAAACCCCAAACCCTAAACTTTTACCTAAACCCCAAACCCTAAACTTTTACCTAAACCCCAATTCCTAAACTTTTACCTAAAACCCCCAAACCCTAAACCCTAAATGCTAAGGAAGCCTTGGAAGACTGCAAGCCCCGAGACCAGGAGCCTTCAACCCGAACCCCAAATCCCCCAAGACGCATCCCGACAAAGTCGAACGAAGTCCCCAAGCCCCATATTAATATACATATATATGTATGCTCTATATATATATATATGTATATATATATATATTATATTATATTATATATATACATATATATATATATGTATGTATGCTATAT